AGATTTTCACCCTCTTTTTTGAGGGAAAAAGGTGTGTCTTATACTCCAAAAATATGGTAATTTATGTGTAATTTGCACAGAGATTAAAATATAAGCTAGAACACCCAAATGGGTGCCTTAAAAGCTGGCCTTTCTTTGATAGAGCCATAGTAAAATCAACCTCTATCATTTTTGCCAATTAACAAGTGGTAACATTTATTTTATTCCTTGATCTTACTATAGAATGAATTTTTACTTCCCAGTCATTCCAGGAGCAGCTGAGTAAAGCTATAACCTATTAACATGTATTTTATTATCTTTTATCAGGGGCACTACAGTAGCTGCCAAAACCTGTATCAGAGGAATATTTTTGTACACCATTAACCAACTATTAAGAAGTGCAAGGATCCTGTTCTATAACTACATAAATATTAACTCAAATCTTCAAATGTAACATTAAAAAAGCACAATTAAGATATAAATTTTCAACAGAGCAATCCAGTCTATGAAACATAAACTAAAGTATGGATAATAAAAGCAGCTGTCACTATCATAAAAATAATGCTTTGTGAACTTTTCTGGAGAAGCTATTTCATACCAAGTTGCTAATAAGCCCTTTATGTAAGTTACATATTATACTGATGCAACAGGTTCTTCCTTTCATTTTCTCCTCTTTTATTTTTCTCAGTGAACTACAGAATTAATCCAACACATGTATCCTATTTTTCCTCTTCGGTTTGGTCTGACACAGGTCACAGCATGCAAGGCCTCCCCAGTTGGGTCTTGAGGACACTGTAGCACTTACCTTGTAGTCATCCATGTGTTTACTTTTACGCATCTGACAGACTTTGAGCAAGTAAATTGGGGGGATAATGAGGTTGCGAAACTCTCCCAATTCACACTTCCCATTCTTCAAAGAACTCTGCATGCAATCATCATGTACAGTTTGCTGGCACCAAATACACCTAAAAGTAGAACAGTCAGAATAACAATCAGAACAAAGAAAGACTGGTTCCATTCTCAGATATTATTACCGGACAATTAGGGAAACAATATCATTTTTGAGGGGCTTAAACAAAAAATGGTGCAATGACTCAACCACTGAATTAAAGCACATCAACTCTATTCTTTTCTTATTAGTTTCAGATGGATGTTGCTGAAAATAAGACTCTCTTACATCGGCCCTCACTTTTCCAGCAACTTTGCATGATTGCCAACATTGTTTCAGTGTTCTGAGTGGCAAAGGTAGTTGATAATTGAATCAATAAAAGGAATTTTTAGATATATTGTTCTATGTAAACAAGTGGAATACTCTCTGAGTTTAGTACAGCCAAACCCAAGCATTAATACCACAGAGCAAAAAAGGAACAAAAAGAAAATAACAGCTTGTTCTGACAAAGCATAAATTAACTTATCAATAGTAAGGTAGGTAGTTTTTAATAAAAGGAAGCTTGGCTTAAAACAAAAGAAAAAACAAAAATGGTGGGTTGGTATTATCACTTCAGACCCACTTCAGAAAAAAAAAAAGAGAAATAATTCCTAAAAGCAGGCTCAATACCCCCCAAGCAACAGATGGACAATATACTGTATGTTCTATCAAGTAAACATGGATCTGTTGGAGGATTAGTTTATTTCGATAATCCAAAAATGAGCCAGTTAGTCATTGAAAGAGAAAATAACATTTATAATTGTTCATATATGTTATTTTGAATGTCATTGGACAATGTTTTGGGCAATATTCTAATAAAAATACTTTCTCCCTGCAGGGTTGAATAATGAGCTAAACCACATCTGTTTGATTCTGAAAAAATAACAGATGTATTTTTGTCTTTTAAAAGAGAGTAATACAGGATAATCAACCATCAAATGAAGGCAAAAGGTCTTAAGTTAAGAATTGGCAGAAGGTAGTTTTCAACAGCCAACAGAATAGACACTCAAATTCTGCACAAAAATAACAAATGAATTAGTAAGGGATAATTAAAATAGATTTATGAAAATACAGATCAGTTCTGCTATATATTCACAGATAGAAGAACTGATATACTATTGAAAAAGAATACCTTTCACATTGCATTATGGCATTGTATGTAATTTTAGGTTTTTAAAAGCTTCATTGTCACACTGTGGAAAAATAGTCCTCAATTATACCAAGAAAGAAAAAGACACAGTACAGACATCAACAATTATATTCTCTGGTCCTTTCAAGTGAGGAAGAGTTACAGAAGCCCTCTATCAACCTATCTTCAGGGATATTGTGATTGTGGCTACAACATCCAAAATTCCCAGCAAACATTGATGACGTCTGTTAACTCTGACACTGGTTCTTAATGAAATACCACAGAAGTTTTATAAATCAAGCAAAATGCAGTTGCAATACAGGTGAAGGGCCCCAAGTTTAGTAAGGCTGAGTAATAGTCTAAAACAATTAGTGAGTGAAGATGTGTACAAAGTAGATGCTTGTGAAAAACATTCCAGCGACTACATATAAAGTGGTAGTCACATGCTAAATTAAGAGTAATATATTCAGAGAACAAACAGGTTTATTTTTTTCCTTTCTTGGAATGCAAAAGGTTTCTTATTGATTGTATTTAACCTACTACATTCTTTTCATTTGTTTTTCAAATGTGAATATCTACAAAATATGGTTCTTTTAAAAAAAACAGGGAAATTTCTACCCAAGACTACTTGAGATGCTATTTAGAAAACCAAATGGCTTTGGTTCTCAGGAGTGTCTTCAGGAAATATTAAGGAGATGCGACTCAACATCTTGTGGCTCTTTTTATACCAGGATTTTTGCAAAGTAGAACTGCATTGCTCTTATCTCCCAAAGCTTGTTTCCAGTGAAAACTTTGTTAAACCCCGAGCACCATCAGAGGTAGCTTTTGCAAAATCCTGTCCTATTCTTAAGCCCCAGGAAATTGCAAGCCGAGAATCATGCATAATTCAATTCTATAAAAAGAATATGCAAAAATCTCCCCAATTAAAAATTTGCCATCCATAATTAAAAAGCGACAATTTAAACAAACTATAATGGTTGGCTTGCATAAAACACAATGTAATGAACAAGTCTCAGAAATGTAAAGAGGATAAATAAGGAAGTGACATTGCTGAGTTATTTCCTCTACCACTGCTCAGATATTTTTAAATCTGCAGCATTACCTGTAATCACAGAGCTTAGGTTGAGTACCACATTGTAGTTTGCACACCACACAGTAGCTACACAGTGGAACATTGCCTCGGATCCAATGGTGCACCATAGAAGCCGGTCTCCCATCTTGGTTTCTTGGCACAATTTCCTTGCATAGGAAATGGCCATCAGCTTTCTTCAGGCATTCTTCATCAACACACAGCCCACAGCAGTTGCAGAAAGCTCCCTGGAGAATATGTTGAGTGCAGACACAGCAATAGGTAGGCTGGCTAAAGAAGTCTATATCTTGCCAATCATGTTTGCTTTTATGCAAGACAACCTGCAGAAGTCCTTGCCTCCGAGATCGCCGAAAACTGCACCACAAGGTGAACATCACTGGTACCATCACTGAACACAGAGTCCAGAAGGCCAAACTCCATTCTGGAAGGAATCCTGAAGATGATTTAGATCTGCTTTCAGCCTCTCCCATCTTCTATTGATTTACTGTCACTCTAGATAATTAATTCAATCATGTAAGATAACACTAACTTGTAGGCCTAAAATAGTCTTTACTGTTATTACCTCATTAATTGGCCCAGTATAAAAATTACCAAGTGTGTTCATTTCAATTATCTTAATTATCTAATCACTGTATATCAAGAAATAGTTTTCCTTAAATCAGATGAATCCTTTATCAAAAGAAGAATTGATAGTCTCTTTAGACCAATAATTTACTCCTTTACACACACTTTGACAATGTCAATTTATTCTTCACAGTGACAACAGTACTCACTTATATAACTTAACCAATGTCTTTCCCATTTTATTAAATAAGCAAAATACTAGGCCAATCCCCAACTCAAACTGCAACCATCTCAATTAAAAAAAAACACAACTTACATTTTCCTCCTTGCTTCTAAGAATGCTATCTTGTTTCTTTCCTTCTTTGTTCAACACAAAGCTAGCATATTTCTTATTCCTGACTATCAAAGACCAATTATTTGTGAAGGAGGACCCATTCAGAAATTCCATTATACACACAGGCATAGCATACTCACAACCGGGATGAAACAAAGCTTGATTCCCCTCTCATTTCCAATGTCAGTCTGTGCATCCCCAAATCAGTCAGTTGCAGCAGCTCCAGAGCAAGTCATCTGAAACAGAGGAAAATGAAGAAAAGTTCTTTTAAAACGACTGTCCCTTTCATTTATTCAACCGAAGTTTCTCCTCCTCCCATCTCTACCTTTAGCTGCTAGCACCTGCAGCCCAGAACCACACAAAGTGTCTAGGAAAGCAGGTTACTTAAACCAATCGGAATTTCAAAATTTTCCTTTAATACAAGCGTCCTCAGCAACACACTGGGAGGCAATTGCCCTGCTGGACGCAGGATGGATTCTTTTGTGAACCCTGCCCTGGAAGGCAGAGCCAAGAGGATCCCATCGACGGCCGAAGGTGGTGGAAGTTGTAGTTCATCTTATAAAAAGAGCGGGGAAGGCTGTTCTAACTGCTCCCGGCACAACCTCTTTCCATCCATCGGCCCCGTCCGAGACGTCCCGTTCCTCCCCCGGCACCTCCCCTACCTGGTGCCCGCAGAGAAACAATAGCACTCAGCCAGCATAGAAGTGGGCGACGGCGGCGGAAACGGAAGAGGCGGGAGCCAGAGTTCACTTAACCGGAGAGGAGGGAGGGGGAGGAGGAGGATCGGAAGGGAGGGTGCTGATGTGGGTTGCTAGGAGACGAGTCAGCCACTCACCAAAAGCGCTAGAATGGATGCAAGATGCAGGGGAGGGGAATTTACAGGATTGGGAAGAACAATGATGTGGAGGGGAAAATCGCTTTCTTGTGCTTGCTTGCTCGGAAATAAGNGATCAGCTGGGACTCAGGAGGCAGAGAATAGATGGGGCCAGGGTATTTACCGGTTCTCTGAACTACTCAAAATTTCCACTACCGGTTTTCCAGAACTGGTCAGAACTTGCTGAATACCACCTCTGGTTTAGCTTCTCTTTGAGCTCTATCTGAAAATCATTATTTTACGGTATTCTTTCCCTGGAATGGGGTGTGAATGGGGATTTTACAGCATCCTTCCCCTGCCATGCCCACCAAGCCACATCCACAGAACTGGTAGTAAAAAAAAAATGAATCCCACCACTGAGCTAAACTATAAAGTTCCTTATTTTCAGCTAGACTGACAGCCCATAGATAAATCTGAAAGTGTGGAACATTAATTTCACCTTTTCCTAAGAGGTGATTTTAATCTGCACATTGAAAGTCTTCCTATGTTCTTATCAAGGAAATGTATTCAATTTCCTATAAATTAAAGTAATGAAATGAAATAGAAATAGGAAGACCTCTCAAAATGTAATTCAACCTTGGAGTTAAATTTATCTTTATCACAATTATCGTACTCTGAATACTGTACTCAAAGGAATTCCATTGAAGTTTTCTTTCGTTTCTATCACATCTGTGAATAAATTTAAATTGTTATCTGAGAAAGGTTCCCCAGAATCTTTATATCAAGATAAAGAAATCCTTACTTTATCAGAACTGTTCATAGTGCTGACACAATGTAATCCCCTGATTTACTCCATATAATAGAGAAACCATAGAGGATATTATATTCATGCATTAATATGATTAAGGATATTGCTGGGTTATCTATAAAACTGTTATGGTTGTTGGAGTCAAGTTTGACTCCTGTTGAGTGTCTGGACATGTCCTTGCAGTTTTCTTGGCAACGTTGTCAGCTCTTGCCTGTTTCCCAGGATTGAGACGGGACATTCAGCCCAAGGATATTCAGCTGGCTTTGTGCCCAAGGTTGGACCAGAACTCATAATCTCTTAGTTTCTACCTGCTATCTTAAACCATTGCACCATATTGGCCTTCTCTATAAAACACAGCAACTTCATGTAGTAGATTACTATGCTGTGTTTTCCCTCCTCTGTATTTCCTTTAATATTTTTACATTATGTAATTATGTCAAATTCTAAACTCAAACTAAAAAAGAAAGAAGGCATCATTGATGTGTATACGGTGTATTAGAAGACAATAATTTGTGATTAAACTATAGCAGTTCAATGTAAAAAACATAGTCCTGAAACTTATTCATATGAACATTTCCTGCTTTTTAAGACCCAAAGTGGCTTGCAATGAAAGCAACAGAATAAATTAAAACAGAACTATTCATTCCCAACTACAATACGGTAAGCTTTCATGATCAATAATGAATGCCCTGTGGAAAAATAAGCTCTTCAAAACTTTTTTGAAGGCTACAAAAATTGAGCAGTCAAGAAATATGCTGGAGGCTAATATCTGGTAGGGTTTCCATGAGAGAAAGGATGTTTGAATGTCATGGTGATTTTATACAACAAAGATGTATAACTGTCCAGGTAATGGTTTTTGTTGTGACATTAGCTGGGCTTTCAAGTAGCAGGACAGAAAGAGTACTGATGGATTTCCATTTTGGTGCTGGAAAACACTTTTAAGGGAGCCATTGAACAGAACATATCAAATCAAAATTCCAATTTGAAGCACTAATGACCAGACTCTGATAGTCATATTTTGAAAAGTTGAAGGAAGAAGAAGAGGCTAGCCAGTGGCAAGGTGGATAGATCAGATTACAAAAGCAATGAGTACATCTCTGATAGAGTTTTTGACTCATTTGCTTAATTGGGTTATTTTATTTTAGGGCAAATGTGGCAAACAGATCATGTTTTAAATCATATTTATGCAAAAGTTTCAAAAGGGTTTAGAACGTTTCAAGCACCACTGTAAATGACTAAGGTGAAGATGATTATTCTTTTTTTAAAATTTAATGTTGTTTATTGTTTTTGTAGCGCAAATTCCATTTCTATATTGAACAGTGTGATTTCTAGGTATCCAAAGGTATCATCATAATTGTTATAATCATATTAACATACAAACATATATTAGATATATTGATCATTATTAAAAAGTATGCTATCTTCCATATTGACATCAATTATATAACCATCAAAGTATTTACTAATTAGTTATTCTTTCCCATGTAGTCCATATTTTCACATAGGTCCACTCATCTAACCACTGCATCTATCAACTAGCCATTTGTAAAAAAAAAAATCCCATGTCATAAAATATTCTGAGTCTTCTTTTTCTTTGATTTTTAGGGCTAACCTATCCATTTCTGCGCATTCCAGTATTTTTTTAATTATATTGCCATCAGTAGGAATGTTATCATTTTTCCAGTATTGTGCGTATAAAATCCTGGCTGCTGTTAAGCTATGTAGAATTAAATATGTATTACCTTTATTATAGTTTTCTGGAAATGATTATTCTGGAGAGAATCTATTGATGTAGTTTCAAAGTCAATATTCACTTAGTGGCATTTATTTTATCAAACTGCAGAATTTCAAATAAAGATGCTGGGCATAAAGCTTATTTCTTGCACTTAGTAGACTCACTGATCTGTAATTTTCTGAATCAGCTTTCCTTTTGGTAAAATGAAATAATGACTGCACAGCACCAATCTTTGGGAGTATTTTCTCTGCAATTTTAAAACGCTTTGCAATCAAAACAGCCACATGATGGAGATGGGAAAAGCTGTGCTGAAGGATTAAAAAAGAAAGAAAGGGCCAAAGAAAAGTGATTGGGGTGAAAGGAACAAGGCCAGGAAGGAAAGAAAAGAGAGAAGTTCTGCTTAAATATTACAAAAAGGTTAAATTCAACATATAAGCAACCTCCTTCCCAAACAGTGGCTAGTCTTCCATGTTATTTACCACTGTAGAAGCAGCAGCAGCAACAACAATAACAAGGGGAAAGTACATAAAATAGTTATTTTTGTAATCTAAAAAAAAGCAAATTTTTATTATAGAACTTCAAAAGACGATTAAGCAACATATAGATCTGAAACCAGAAATATTTTTGTTGGGTATAATGCCAGAGGGCTATGATAAAGGGACTATATATTTAGTTTTGCATGTATTTCTAATATTGGATTGTATTTGCACAAGGATTGTATTTGCACAATATTGGAAAAATGAGAACACTCCATCAGATGAGNTGCCACCTGTGGCATATGTGCCATAGGGTTGCCATCACAGCTCTAGGCAATAACTTAACCCTTTATAATCCTAAGGCTCATTTCAGAGACTCACAGCTATTTATCAAGTCTATAGATTTCCCCATGGGGGCTTCAAATCTATTTTATAGGCAGGTTTTTGGTGGCCCAAATGTTCTTCACCAGTTGCAGTTTGGGATACCATTTCAACTTTCACCTTTATCAGTCCTGCTGAGCCCAACCAAGAATGACCATTATGCTGCAGATAACCTCTCTTGTATATACAGTAATAGGACATAGCTGTTTGGTCTCACAAATCAGGTGCCTAAGTTTTATTAACCTTATTACTAAGTTTGGTATTTTGTTTCTAAGGGAGATTTGGAGGCCAGGAATAGATTCTATATTCATAATTATGATCAATCACTATCACACTGAGTAATAGTGGTGGCAAATCAAGTGTCAGCTTTGGAATTTTTTTTAAAGTCTTAACCTCCTGAGCCAGGTGACAATGTTGTCATTACAGGCAAATTGGATTTTGGCCATTAAGCTTATTAGGCTTATTTTTAGTTGCTCTGGTCTAGTTAATGTCAACTTCTACTTAACTTCTGCAAGATCGAGAGCACAATTTGAAGAGTCAAGGCATCACTTAGTCCAGTATTTTGAACGCTGCATGGCTACTTTTCTTTCACATATTTGATTTTGGTCAGAGACGTTAATGCTAAGATGATAATTCACTCCATGCTCAGTTCAATAGTTTCTCTCTTGACCTTGGTGATTTATTCAGATTACAAGGGTGCTTTTTAAAAAATAAATATCTTGTAAATTCAGGGATCCCATGAGTAATTTTGCAGGGATGGCTAATACATTGGATACATTTAATTATTTTAAATGAGATATTTTGAAAAGGATGTTCCCAGCCCTTTTACCTTCCAATCCCTGCAAAGACTTTCCAATATTGATTATGTTTTAATATCAAATAATCTGGTTCCTAA